CACACACAGAGACCGAGGACACTGACACACACACAGAGAGCAGGACACTGACACTGACACACACACAGAGACCGAGGACACTGACACACACACAGACAGAGGACACTGACACTGACACACACACACACACACACACACACACACACACACACACAGAGACTGAGGACCTTGACACACACCAACACAGACAGAGGACACTGACACACACACACAGACAGACAGAGGACAGAGGACAGAGGACAGAGCGGAAGGCTGACTGACCTTTCCCCATGTTGCTCCTCTTCCTCAGGATTCCCTGCAGCCTCTCCCTGTTCTCTGTCTCCTCGTGCTCGTAGTTGATGTCTCTGAGGCCGGCAGCTCCACTGGGCCAGTGGCGGGTGCGAGTCTCTCTCCGGGAGGCGCTGTCCCAGTGAGAGACCGTCTGCTGGTCCAGCACCCTGGAGATCAGGAGCTGGGAAAGGAGCCCCGCCTCCGACACTGCTGTGGAGCTGTAGACCAGCCAGTGGGAGGCTGAGGCGCTCTCTGAGAGTGGGGGAGCGAAAGGAGTAAGCTGTGATGCAGAAAGAGACCATCAGCGCCCAGATTCCTGCTGTTGCTCCAGGAGCTGGGAGAATTCCAGATGGCTACTGGGACGTTCAAGATTCATCCCTCCACTCCCGGTGACTGAAGCTGCTGCTCAGGAAGATCTTCAATCCCTGCTGTGGGTGGTGGAGACTCTCCGCTAATGACATCCAGCCATCGAACAGCGCTCTCCAGTACAGGGTCATAGGGGAGCTGGAGCCTATCCCAGCATACAACAGGCACAAGGCCAGATACACCCTGAACAGGACACCAGTCCATCACAGGACACACACACACACCCTGGACAGGACACCAGTCCATCAAGGACACACACACACACCCTGGACAGGACACCTGTCCATCACAAGACACACACACACACCCTGGACAGGACACCAGTCCATCACAAGACACAGACACACTCACACACCCCGGACAGGACGGCCGGACACACACAACCACCCACCCACCCTGGACAGGACACCAGTACATCACAGAACACACACATAACAGGGCCAGTTTTCCCAGAAGCCAATTAATCCACCAGCAGGACTGTGGGAGGGAAAGCCATGGAATCACACGGGGAAAACATGCAAACTCCCCACAGACAGCAGCCCCAGGTCTGGAATTGAACCCGGGGCCCCAGAACTGTGAGGCAGCAGTGCTGACCTACTGCGCCCCACTGTGCTGCCCTCCTCTGTGAAGTCCAAGATGACAGCAATGGAGACGAGCTCCTCTTTTTTTTGGAGGGGACGCGAGTGTGACCCCACCTTCTCTGATCAAGGCTCCAGAGAGCAGACCCAGAAGGTTCCCCATCAGAGCTGCTCCAGCGTTGACACTCACCTTCTCCGACAGACGGTATCAGGAAGATTCCCAACACGATGAAGAAACTCCACATTGGAGAAATGGGCTGAAAAAAAACAAACAAAAAAAAACAATATTGAGCTGGATTAGAATGTATTATGACCCTGATTATCATATAATCTGAATTGGATCTGGATGTAAACTGAATGGGATTAGAATGTAATCTAAACTGTTTTGGGTTTCATACAAAGTGAATGAAGATACACCGTGAACTGGGTGAGGATGATGTACCGTACGGACTACAAACTGACATCAGGGTGTAATTTGATCTGGAACTGGTTTAATATGCGAGGAGAGCAGAGTAATGAAGCCAGAGATGGGGATTATAAGGAGGCCATGATTGGTAAAGGCCAATGGGTAATTTGGCCAGGACACAGGGGTTATACCCCTACTCTTTTCGAGAAACACCCTGGGATTTTTAATGACCACAGAGAGTCAGGACCTCAGTTTTACAGTATGTCTCATCCAAAGGACAGCGCCTCTTTACAGTCTAGTGTCCCCATCACTATACTGGGGTATCAGGATCCACACAGACCACAAGGTGAGAGCACCCCCTGCTGGCCCCACTAACACCTCATCCAGCAGCAACCTCAACTTTTCCCAGGAGTCTCCCCTCCAGGTACTGACCAGGCTCACACCTGCTTAGCTTCAGTGGACTGCTAGTTGTGAGATGCAGGGTAATATGGCTGCTGGCCGTATAGAAAATGCCGTTTAGAGAAAAGCGACGCGAGACGAACTCACGAGCAAGGGGAGCCCCCTTCCGGCTAGGGCGTCTCAGTAGGTGATGGACCCCTGCACCCCCCTTTCAACCTACCCCACTGGAGCCCGGGTGATTTCCCAGACTCAGATCAATGCAAACTGCACTGTGCCCAGCTCTCCGATACCCACGATGCACTACAGGAGTAGAAACACGCTTTGCTGCAGGACCGTCAGCGGTTCTACAATAAAATTGTATCGCCTTCCTGAGCTTTGAGATAAATCGACATTTTCCCGGTGAAGGTCGGCATTTTGTACTGTCAGAAACCGCCTTCACACTGACTCGTATTTTACAGTGAACGTGTCTTTTATAGCTGTGAGACTCGTGTCCGCCTGACCGCAGCCATGTGCTCCTCCTGTCCCTGTGCTTTTCACGCACAAACCTCGAGACCTTTCCACGTCGAATAAACAAATAAATCCACGCGGAATCTTTTTCTTTGTTGGTCTCGACGGCTTCTAAAAGATACGCCGGCCGCCAGCGCTTGTCCTTGCTGCTCCCCACGCGTGGGGGAAAAAAAAACGGCAGTCCTCCTCCCGCGATCGTCTCTCGCAGACTGAGAGCGAAAATCGCAGATGCTGACGAGACTTAACGATGCTTTTCGATCATCCGTTAAGAACACCCTAGTGTGTTTTTTGCGTATCCGGTTATGGAATTACTCAAATTCAAATTTCAGCCCGACCGCTGAATTTTGCTGCTGGCAGGCAAGTTTCATCCGCAGTACAAACATAGTAGAAATTGCATCATTTTGCATGAGCGTGTGCCGATGGTGAGATGCGTGTCGTGAAATCACCTTTTAATTTGATCGAAAAAACAGAGGGATCGGTCATTTCGGGGGATTCGGTCTTCTCCGTGATGTGGCGTTTCGTATGCAAAACCATCTTCTCCTCTGGCTCTTTTCGGAATCGCTTTAGAGCGTTTCGTGTCTGTTTTCACACAAATGTTGCGTCTGTGCTTTTTGTAGCCGTTGTCTGAGCGAACCAAGCCAAATTCCCACCTCCCCCGGCTGGTTCCTGCGATCAAGTTCACGGAAAAAAAAACTCCAAAACCCAAACAACTTTATCCGAGAGGCTCAGCTGCCCAGAGCTCCGTGTCTCTCCGTGTCTGTGAGGAATGAAGTTCATCCTCCGTGTCCGACGTACAGAGAGACACGTGTCTCGTCGGAGCTGGCACCCACCAGACTGGACAAGAGAACACAGGACCTGCGGGGGGCTGGTGCCCACCGGATTGGACAAGGGGACACAGGCCCTTTCGCCAGTAGCCATATCACTCTGCAACTCACAACTGGCAGCCCCACTAGAGTTCAGCAGGTGTGATCCTGGTCAGTACCTGGATGGGAGACCGCCTGGGAAGGTTGCTGCTGGAAGAGGTGTTAGTGGGGCCAGCAGGAGGCTCTCACCCCACGGTCCATGTGGGTCCTAATGCCCCACTGTAGTGACGAGGACACTGGACTGTAAACAGGTGCCGTCCTTCGGATGAGACGTAAAACCAAGGTTCTGACTCTACATGATCATTAAAAATCCCAGTGTGCTTCTTGAAAAGAGTAAGGGTGTTACCCTGGTATCCTGGTCTAATTTCCCCCCTGGTCTTTACCCATCATGGCCTCCTAATAACTCCCCTCTGAACTGGCTTTATCACTCTGCTCTCCTCCCCACTGAGAGCTGCTGTGTGCTGAGCGGACTGGAGCATCATCCAGGTAGGGCTGCACACTGGTGGGGCTGGAGGGGATCTCCATTAACCTGTAAAGCACTTTGAGTGGAGTGTCCAGAACAGTGCTATAGAAGTGTAAGCAATTATTATTATTATTGTAATTATGACCTGCTGTCTCTCATAAAACAAGGACTGCGAGACGCGAGGAACACTCTCATCCGGCACAACATAAAGTAGGGAGCGAGGGGGCTGGAGGAGAGGATCCTGGCGGACTTCACAAGGAGGATGAAGCGCGACGTCACGAAATGGGGTTTCCCCACGGCGAGGGAGCGCTGGACAGGACTTTGGGCCCCGTACAGGGGACTAATGAACACAAGCGAGTGAGAGGGCTTGGAGGGACTCTTTCAGTGCGCAAATTCCGCCCCGTCGTCCACTTGCACAGTTTGACAATGGACAATCACCGCCGTTCGGAAAGTTTTTTTTTTATTGCATGCAAGTTTACCAATTTGTGAGAACGTTTCTTTTTTTTTTAGATGTCGTTATGGAAATAACTGATATTTTGTAGAAAAACACGTCCCATCGCGTGAGTTTTACCCACCCGTGCCTGGATTCCGCCCGATGTCCTTTATCGCAGCCTCGCCTCTGTCTAGAGCTCATTCTCGAGCGGGCAATAAGTAAGCAATAAGTAAGCAATAAGTAAGCAATAAGCAATAACATGCAATAACACGCAATAACAAGCAATAAGCAATAAGCAATAAGCAATAAGCAATAACACGTAATAGCAATAACACGTAATAGCAATAACACGTAATAAGTTCAATTAAAAAGACTCCCCTCAGCACAAACAGTTAACAATCAGACTCGTGGGAGAGTTCCAGTCATTCTTTGCTGATGAATCAGACTGCAGCCCGCGCAGTGATGCCAAATATTCGTGATTAGGATAAGGACACGTACTATATTCAAGAGAGAAATCTCAAGCCATCCGTCTCGTGCGCTACGAGACCGCGGACTGTAAGGACCCGAGCTCTGTAAAAACTCTTTCGCACCGGCAAATTGATTTCGGCGGTAATGAGATACTTGTGTGAAGTGCGATTCGAGTTGCAGAGCCGTAGGAGAGAATTAAAAGAGTACAAGAGTAAAAGTGCACATTCACATTTCCCTGACACGCTTTTTCTTATCTTGATTCAAGAAATTGTTCAAAGAATTTATCACCACTCATTTCTGCATTAGTCTGTGCAGCGTGTTACAATGTCTCAAAAGAGAGTAGCGATAAAGTCCTGACAGTTCCCGTAATATCGAGCACACTGCATTACCCTGTCATGCGTGTGATGAATAAACAGTGCTCTGCCCGTTAATACTCATGTTAACTAAATAAGGTCACGATGCATCAAACCCGCAGAAACCTCGAAACTGATGCACAGACATCACTTAGAAACCCCCCGTCAGGATAGTGTCTGGGCGCCTCACGCTCACCAGCACACCAGGCAAGGAAAGCTCTCTAGTTTACTTATTTGTTTGCAAATTTCTGTTTTTTTTTCCCCAGCTTTCAGCTTCCAGGAACCAAATCCACACTCTCACTGAGCATTACTAACAGTAACAATAAATACTGTATGATCCATTAATTATTAACATAAATCACTAACAGTAATAAATGTTGCATCATCCATTATTAACATAAATGACTAACAGTACTGTAGGATCCCCTCAGACTCTGTCTGAGTCACTGCCCTTATAGCAGCCTGTTCCAGAGCGCAACCTCACAATTAATGACCTTCCATTCAACGAGTTTATCCTGAGCCTCATTTTTACTGACTTTTTATTCTGCTTTGTTGTTTCCTACTCTGAGTACAGGGTTCAGGGGAGATGGTGTTTGGCATTCCATGGATCAGAATGGAGATGCTTCTGCCAATCAGAAGGTTAACACGGAGATGGAGGGTGAGAGATTTGTAGTCGGTAGGTAAAATCGTAAATTGGGTTCAATCCAGTCCTGCCTCGATCAAACAGACATTTGGCTTCGTTCTGCATGTATATGAAGGGTGAAATGAGAAAGATAATAATAATAATAATAATAATTGCTTACACTTATATAGCGCTTTTCTGGACAGTCCACTCAAAGCGCTTTACAGGTAATGGGGACTCCCCTCCACCACCACCAATGTGCAGCATCCACCTGGATGATGCAACGGCAGCCATAGTGCGCCAGAACGCTCACCACACATCAGCTATCAGTGGGGAGGAGAGCAGAGTAATGTAGCCAATTCATAGAGATGGGTTTTCTCTCGTGTAGGAATGCAATAGTTTCTCAAGGCTGGGATGTTGTACGGACAGCGGGCTCTTTGTCTCAGGGGTCTGATCTTACATGGCTGGAAGTCTGGAGAATGGGGATTCCCTGCCCTGCCACATGGGGGCGCTGTGGTGGCGTGGTGCGGGACTTTCTCTTTGGCATTGAAAGAGGTGTGTTGGTGTGTCAGGAGGTAAAGTGTGTTGTTGTCTGAGGAGGTGAAGTGTGTTGGACTGTGAGGATGAGAGGTGTGTTGGTGTCAGAGGAGGCGAGGTGTGTTGGTTTGTAAGGAGGTGAAGTGTGTTGGTGTGTGAGGATGAGAGGTGTGTTGGTGTGTGAGGAGGTGAAGTGTGTTGGTGTGTAAGGAGGTGAAGTTTGTTGGTGTGTGAGTATGAGAGGTGTGGTGGTGTGTGAGGAGGTGAAGTGTGTTGGTGTGTGACAATGAGGGGTGTGTTAGTGTGTGAGGATGAGAGGTGTGTTGGTGTGCGAGGAGGTGAAGTGTGTTCAACAGTTAGACCGGAGAGCCGTCTACGCCAGAGGAGCCAGCGATCTGGGACCCTGGAGGAAGAGAAGGATAGACATTGAAGCTCTCTGAAGTGTTGCAAAGCCATCACAACAGGAAATGGCACGCCACTTAAATGAAAAAACATCTGAGGGCCAACTGTCTCAATGCTTAATGCTCAACCTGAAACGGGGGTGACGTAGCCCCTCAAAAATGCGATTATTCTAAAACGGTGCACCATTTAAGCACAGATCATTCTGTATATTAGCCTCACATTCCTCTTTTTCAGCTCAAATCTGAATCACTAGGATACACAGCAAAAGAAAAAAACATTAGTTAATAAAATGAATTATTGAATACAATTTTCAAGGGTGGTTATTGAGCTATAAACATATTCGAGTACAGTGGAGAAAAAATTCACTTATGCGTGAAACTCAGAAAAGCATTTTTTTTTATTTCTTTCTCCTGTAGGAAAACCCTGAACGAGACTATCTAGGATGAGTGTTGCCCCTAATCCTGCCTTTTACTGTCATTTTCGCCCGAAGTTTACCCGATTCCGAGACACTATTTCTTACCGACATAATTGCTGTATGCATCTCTAACGATTTTCAACTTATGAAGAGAGCCGAGTCTGTTTTGAGCTCAAAGGGGTGGGTTTGAATTAATGTTTCCCTTCTCTTTTCTAATGTAGTAAAAAGAACTACATTACCCAGAAGGCGTCAGAGGAGAAGGAACTACAGGACCGATTTAAATTCAATTCAATTAAACTTTATTGTCATTAAACTTACACAGGTGCATAGTATAATGAAAAGTATTTCTCATAAGTCACTCAGGTGCAGTATATAAATAGGACAGAAGATAAGACAATAGTCAGTAACAGATTAGCAATAACAGTAACATGTAATAACATAATATAAATAACATGTAATTAAGTAATCAAAAAATCAAAAAGCTGTGCAAAATTCCGCAGAGAAAATATAACAGGACGAAAACAGTGCAAGGTAATTCTTGGAACAGTGCAAAAAATCACTGTAATGTGATTAAAAAAATCAAGCATTGTAATGTGCACCAGAGTGATTTCACTCTGGTGCACATTACAATGCTTGGCGCCTTTTCTGTTGAATCGGTTCGACACTTTTCATCTTGAAATGTTGTGTTCTGTAAATGAGTGTATATAATAAAGCACTGGACACCTGTGCGATATTTTCGACGGCGATTATCAATGGATAATCGAGAGATCAGCGCCACGTTAAAATAACGTTACAGAACAGCAGAGCTGTCCAATCTGTTATAATGCCTGTCAACAAGAGGTACCACAGTGAATAGTTTTTAAAACAACAAAAGAGAAATAATTGTTTTTAGTGAAAAAAAGTGCTATTGCGATGATCCCTATAACAGTAATCTCTTAAAATACCACCATCTGAAGGTGTTAAACATGTCCAGTTATGACAATACCGGTCTCAATTAGTTTGAGATTGAAAGATACTGTTTTTCTAAGAATGCTTACTTTGTCAGATATAATAAGCATAGTAAATAATTATTTTAAACGCCAAATATTTGTATAGTAGCACACTAGTTACAGACATAACAGAAACAGAGTAAAACAGATGGTAAACTTCTCCCGTGTTTGCGAATTGTTATTCTTACCGCTAGAGGGTAAGAGGGTTCCTCGAGTCCAGTTTTCTTCTCGGCCGATACAACACCTTGATTTCTCAGACCTTTATCTTGCATTGAAGAAAATGATGTTTTACACGCACAGAAACTCACAAAACATACAAACAATACAAGTAAACGTACATTAAAAATAATATATTATATATATTAATATATAATATATATTAATTTTACATCACTCCTATAGGATTCTACACGACTACGTCTGAAGCCTGTAAATGTACTCCCCACCAACGGTGCCCCTATGATCACACATCACACCTTCATTTTTACACACAATCCGCTAATAGCACCTACCCCAGTACTTGGGGTAAAACGTCTGCAATGCTGATTAAAGGTTTGAAGAGCAGTGTCCATGTACTGGATTGTTAAGATCTGGTTGGTATTTGTCAATGCTATAGACAGTGTGGTGTACGTTTCTACAGTACGTCTGGAGTGTAATTCATGGATCATGTGGCAAACATGAGAGACAAGGCAGTAGGCAAAGGTAATGTAGCGGGAGAACAAAAGCAGGGAGGGAGGAGGAGTGGGAGGCTGGAGAAGGAGAAAGAAAGAGAGGCCAATCAAGAGGTGTGTAGTCAGAATAGGTGTTGAGAGGTGTGAAATGAAACTTCCAATGACTGGAGAAAATTTAGTAGAATAGTAGTCTGTCGTTAAGAGAAGGGGGAAGGTGTGATCCTAGCTACAGGATAAGTTTGGTTTCGGTCGTCTTTCTGATGTATGAGTTCGGAAAACCATCTTTAAGTACACAGACTGTGTCTTGTCTCTCTCACACCTGAAGAAGGCTCCACGGCCGAAACGTTGTGTTTTCTCTCTTCTTTTTTTCAGCATGGAATAAAGCTATTACTTGTTCCAGTACATTTTTTTTCACACGCGAACACATTTAAGGATAGTTAGTCACCCCCTGTAACTTCAATACAAGATAACTGTTCTTGATCTGTGGGCATTCATGACTCTTTTTTATTACTAGGTATTTTTGTACCTATTATGTTTGTATATAACACCTTGCGTTTTCAACTGATATGTACAGCTCAAACTCTCACACTAACATCTTATTTTTCGTATGATACCCCAAAACATGAAACAATACAATAATGTAGCCGATTATGTCCTGGTAAGAACGATTTAAGACTGAATTCCAGTTTTTGAAAATGAACTCGCCCTGGATTGAATTAGCCACTTTCAACAGTGTCACTCGCTGCAGTTTCACAGCTGGATCCTAGGGGGCGCCAGCAGCTGGATGGAGGATGGTTTCTGGTTACAGACGAGCATCGCTGACAGCCTTCGGTTTTCAATTAAAGTTGAAAGCTTTCAGGACAGCCTTCATCAAGTTTTCTTTCTAGGCGGTAGCTGTCGGCTTACGGGGATGAAGTTGCAATGAAGTGAGGTTTGTGAGCTGTTTTTCTCTATAAATAGGTATTTCCTGACTAAATATGTGTCGCCAACAAGGGGAAACTACAGGGCAGCGCGTTTAGTACTGATATCGGGAGGCGCTGCTTTACACAAAGGGTGGTAGGGGCGTGCAAAAAAACTGCAAATTCAAGTTGTTGTAGCCGATATCCTGGCTTCTGGATACAGCTGGGTGATATATTAGGATCAAATAGCTACTAACTGCCAAACAGGATGGCCCGAATGACGACTCTCTCATCTAGTCTTTTCTTCTAAACGAACATGGAAAAAGTGAATATTTTCACATGTACAGCGTTTGCTTTACATTTGGGGGTGGGTAGAAGTATGACAGACTGGCGTTAAATATATGCTGTTGTTTTTTCCTTCGGAGTAGTTCTGTGTTAAACAGCGGAAGCTAGCCAAACTTTTACTTTCAGTTTGGAAAAACAATTGCGTATGTAGAATTAAAGTACAAAATAGCCGTACTTTAACCACAACTTAATTAGCACCACCCTAATAACGGAAATAAGGTGTTGCGATTTAAAAATCAGATCAGTATCACATCGGGATATTTGGCATCGTGTACTTTATGAAATGTTGTGAAAAGTTTTTTTTTTTAACGAGTCGCTCCTTACAGAGTAAGAGGAAATGCAAAGCGCATGCGCAGCCCATAGACTTCAGCAGGGCACCGGACGGACAGTGGAAAAGTTTCAGGAAACGATGAAAAATAACAGTTTATAGTAACCCGCGCCGTGCCAGAATTTAAAACCTTAAAACCAGCGGGCAAAGGCGAGGCTGAACCTGTAAAGGCCATTTTAAATTCTCTTGTTGGATGCAGAATTACAATTACAACAGGAACCCAGAAACGATGAAAACGGTCACCGAACCGGATTTTTAATTATCTCCTTTTAATGTATTCCCAGAAGACAGGGAATCGGGTTAGAAATATAATACAGCTCCACAATTGTCCGACCGCTCCTAAAATATTCCGCAGCCCTTCTGTAAGTTTCCAGCTAGAGGAAAGCCGATGTTGGTGAATTCCTGTCTTACAATTCCTGTAACCTGCACGTTGCCTTTTGTTCATTATATGCAAATACTCGACCAACTGGATCCGATGTGTGAATTTTAACTCGCTGTAATATGTAGAACATGTCAGTTGTACTGTGGGTTTTGCCATTCCTATTTATTTCTGCTAATATAAATACTGCATTGGGCCTTTGTAACTAATAGATCAGACTTAAATTAATTGCCCTACTACTGCGCAAAACGTCAGTCTTCTTGCTAAACAGAAATGAGAAATGTTCCCCCACTCAAATCCCCAAAACGAAAGATGCTTTCCAGTTGAAATTGATTTTATTGAATGAAGCACCGATGTAAGAGTCTGATTGTAATATACTGTTAATTTATTGAGAGAAGCCACCAGGAAGTCCTCGGACGTACCTTGAAGTAGTTGCCGGTTTCACACGTGTGTGCACTTAACAAAGAACACCCGGCATAATCTTTTATATTTTTACAAAATAATAACAAACACGAGTGCACAAGTCCAAATGGTGTTAACGAATTTCACGAAAAGCACTTCGGTAGAGCATAGTGTTTACAATAAGCGCGTTACTGGGGAAATAATATATTTACACCCTGCACACCAGAAGAAGGCTCCACGGCCGAAACGTTGCATTTTCTTTCTTCTTTTTTCAGCAGGGAATAAACCTGTTACTTTTTCCTTTGCAGGTTTTCTTGGGCGGACTGCTGGTGTTGTAGAGGAGATGACTCTCAGGACAACAGGAACGGAGAACACGTTTGGACTGACACTGATCTATGGACTGATCCCTGGCGCTGGTAGGCTTCTCTGTGAGTCTGGGTGACCCCAGACATGGCTTGACGTGGGCACAGAGCGAAGGAGCCAGTCGAGTCATGAGCGTGGATCCCAGTCTTGCACACACAGACACACACTGGTGTCCATGGGGCTCTCCCAGGCTGTTCACACTTGGCTGTGGCAGTGGACGCAGAGTGGAAGGCGATTGTTGAGTTGTGCTCATGCACAGCCCTGCTGGAAGTCTTCCCAGTTTTCTTTGCTGGCTCCTTCATCCCTGTTTCTGGTCTGTAGGTTGCAGTCCATCACAGGACACACACTCACACCCCCTGGACA